TGAAATAAATCAGGAATCTGGTTTTGAGTGAAATAAGTATTAATAAATATATTTGTTAAGCATTTATAACGTGAGTTAAAAATGGCTCACTATTTGGCAGGTATTGCAGTGAAATCACCCTTTTACTCATGCATTTATAACTGCTTATCAATGATTTATAATGCATTTGTAATTGAGTTATTAGTCATCTATTAACACCTTTATAAACCCTTTATAAAGGGATCCTTAATGTAAATTGTTACCATAAAATCTTAACTGAAATACTGAACAACCACTCATTTTGCCTGAAATAATTAAGGCTTCTTGATTGAAAAAATAAATGTTTTTTTATCTGCCTTTAAAAGAACTGTTGGGTATAAAACTCAGTAACTTCCGTTGGCCACAAGCAGATATAAAGCCCCAAAAAAGAATTGTGAAGCATTTCCAAATCATGTTTCCATTACCTAGTCCAATTGTAGCTGGTTGGTTCTGGGTTACTATCCACTTTACACTGGAATTCTTTAATGTTTGTTAGACTGTCAGGAATGATAACAACTGATTCTGGCGGATCTAAGTTGAAGAAGAAAAAAAAAACTTCACAAACATTATTTACAGAAGCTTGTCACTACACATAAGGTTGAATAGTACACATTATCTGAATCAGTCTGATGAATGCTTTTCTAAATAAACCGTATCTGTCAGAGTGGCAACTGAATCACCATATGACTCACTTATTGAACTACTCTCTAGCAAAAATATGTTCTCTCTTTATCTGTATATGCACATAATCATTATTTGTATGCAAGTTGTTGGTTGACAGCATGTGTACTTACAGTGGATGTTTATTGCGTAGTTCAGCACTAGTTCATCTCTCAGGGTGTTGTGTTTCACCACACACTGGACATTCTTCTTGTTTAAATGTTTGAATGGGACACCAAGTAGGTAGGACACAACAGTAACAGTCCCATCTGAGTTCACTGTATAGTTGATTTCAGTCGTCAGAGAGTTTTCTAGATCTCCTAATCTCCATATCACTTCTGCTGCAGGCCGTGCATTAGAGGCAAAGCATGACATCAAGGTGGCCTCTGTAAAACCAGCAACAGGCACCTCTCCTCTTACATTAATCGCAGGACGAGCTAAATTGGAAATGGAAAAAAACCTAATCATTTAATGTGGACTGTGAAAACTAAAATAGCTTAGTAAGTTCTCGATCTTCTCATAACTACTAAAAGCATGTGACATTACTTTTACAAATTTTGCTAGCACATAGCATTTTCATAGGACGAAAGTTTTTTGAGTTTGGTATGTAAACATGCACAGTTTTAAAGGGGTCATATGATGCTTTATTCAAAGATCATTATTTTGTGTATTGGGTGTAATAGAATTAAAGCATGCTTTAATCTTTAAAACACATTATCTTTCACATACCGTACATCAATGGTCAGAAGTGGCTTGGCAGCCCTTTTCCTGAAGACGTCTGAGCGTGGTGACTCTTGATGCACTGACTCCAGCTTCAGTCCACTCCTTGTGAAGTTCTCCCAAGTGTTTGAAACGGCTTTGTTTGACAGTAATCTCAAGCTTGAGGTCATCCATGTTGCTTGTGCACCTTTTCCTTCCCAATTTCTTCCTTCCAGTCAACTTTGCATTTAATATGCTTTGATACAGCACTCTGTGAACAGCCACCCCTTTCAGTAATGGCCTTCTGTGGCTTACCCTCTTTGTGGAATGTGTCAATGATTGTCTTCTGGACCATTGCCAAGTCAGCAGTCTTCCCCATTATTGTAGTTTCAAAAAACAAGAGATACCCCGGTTTATACTGTAGGGATGGTCATTTAATGACACTCAAATGTAAATATTAGAATATTTTGAGATACTGGATTATTGACTTTTATGAGCTGCAAGTTCTAATCATCAAAATTAAAACTAAAAAACTTTTGAAATGTTTTACTTTACATGTAATGAATCTAGAATATATGAAAGTTTCACTTTTTGAAATAAGTTACACAAAAAGAACTTTTTCATGATATTCTAATTTTTTGAGATGCACCTGTATGTGATTTGTACTGGAGAAGTCTGCGCTGTACTCGAGCGCGATCAGATCTCACAGCGCTGTTTAGTGGTCTCGTGATAAAGACTGGTCAGTGTAGTAAAATACATTCGCGTTAGCTCACACTGCGCTCTGTTTTCTTTTGAGCTGAGCTGATAAAATGTCCATGCGACGCGTGGTTTCAAAAGAGAAGCGCTATTTCGTTTCGCTTTTGGCACGTTTGGCGTTTAATACGCATTTATCATGTACAACAGAATGCTAACGCTTATCAGTTAGGCAGATTGGTAGTGGCACCAGCGCGACCTCTTACAAAATTTAGTGTCACCGGCAGAAAAAAAGGTTGCATAATATACATTAGTCGCAGTCTGGAGGCCTGGTAGACTACTGTCGATTACACTTTTATTTAATTGTTTATTTTATTTAATTGCCTTACCTTGGCATTGTAAGCATATGATTTAAAAACATTTTTATATAAAATTATTAGTGCATATTAGCTTAAAATTATTACTCCACTAAATGCGCTGCACACACTCACATATTTGGGTTGTACTATTCTGGAACAGTTGTAAATAAATCTTAAGCACTGATTCTTGCATCCACTTTCGGAAGGCCAAACAAATGTTCTTTTGCATTTGCATAGAAACACATATCATCTCAACATGTCAGCAATAACACTACTGCAATACCTGAAATGCTTTTTTTCTATGCATATACATTTGGGCAGCATTATGCAAATATTTCCGCATAGATATGTGAGGGAAGATTCGATCAGGGCATTTTTTTACAGGTCTCGGTCAGCCTTCTCTTTTAGACAGAAAAAAATACTTTTGTGGGAGACTGTGAGCTTTGTAACTTTGCAGATATTATACATGCACAAACAGCTACATAACACTAAAGAATAAGGAACACATGAAAACGCATCATATGACCCCTTTAAATAATTTTTAAAATAATTGGTTAGGAATCAAATTACAGAGATATGCATATATTTAGGCATTATGTCATTGCTGTAAATCACTGAAAAAATGTACAAGCCATCATACCAAAAACTGTGACATTGATGTCAGTCTCAAATGTCCCAACAGCAAATAAGTTGAAGATGCATGTATAGATCCCATCATCCAGAAGCCTCATTCTAAGTAGCTGAATTGATCCATTTTTCTCTGCAAAGTTCCCAATGAATTGTACTCTGTCCCCTAATCCATTTGAGTGTTCAGTTTTGTGACCTGGGCGAATGGAAAAGAAGGTGTTCTCTTCAGCAGTTTCTTGTGTCTTCTTCTTCCATATAATACGAGTTACATCAGCATCTTCATCAGTCTCAGTCAGCTGACACAACAATGTGGCATTTTCTCCATATACGACTGCTGTATCATGACCAATAACTTTTACACCTTTACAGAAAAATGCACACAATACAAGAATTAACAAACATTTTACATGTAGATTTTCAGTTGGACAAGTAGCATTAAGCAGAGCTGTGACAGAGACATCTCTCTCTCTATTATGTTCCACAAAAATGAAAGTCATATAGGATTGGAATGACATGAGGGTGAGTAAATGACATAATTTTAATTTGTTGATGAACTAAACCATTAATCTTTCAAAAAAAATCAAATGCATGTATGCAACCATTAGAGGTCTACACGGAGGACCCGAGACCCGAGGACCCGGGACGTCTCTTCGGGTTCGGGTGCGAATTTTTGGACCCGTGTAGACCTCTAGCAACCATGTCTCTCAGTGAGCCACAGTCACTTGACTTCCAGCTCATGGTCCTGCTGAAAAAAATACTTTAGTCATGAAACCCTAAAACATTTGAGATATATTACATATGTATGTGTATTACATATGATTGAAAACAATGATACAACTTGGGTTGCAAAAATGTGGAAAATTTCCAGTAAATTCCAGAATTTTTTGAAACTTTCCAGGATTTTTTGGAATCTTCCAGGTATTTTTGGAAAGTTTCAAACAGATGACGAGACAAGAGAAGAAGCGGTAATGGTAGTTTATTAAGAGTTGTCAAGATGCACAGGTGAGTAACTTGCATTTGCAGAATAGAGACAGCCAGGAAGTAAATCTTAATAAGATTTAATAAGTAAATCTTGCAGGTGGTTGACGGATACAGAGTGGAGCAGACTGATGTAAGGACTTAAAGGGGTCATAGGATGCTACATACACTTTTACAAGTAGTTTGAATAAAAAATGCTGTTTTTACACTACCATTGAGAAATTTTAACCAAACTATGTTACAGACTTTTCATTAAGACCCTAAAGAATCATATCAACTTGTGGAAAATGGGCATCATATGACCCCTTTAAGGCATCAGACTGGAAACAGGCAGATATGAGGTAAGGAGTCCAGTTTCTGCTTACAACCATTACCGCTACTTCCCTTGTCTCCTCATCTGTTTGCTGATAAATGACCAGACCAAGACAAAGTTCTAATATGGATTCTGGAGCTTATTTCAACCCATCATCAGATCCGTTTGCTGAATTATTCCAATCCATCCGTCAAGCCACTCCATCACTTTTACTTCTTCTGAAGTCTCTGCCAGTCCCATGGCCTAACCAGTGACCAATAGTGGTATGGCGGAGGATTGCAGTGGTTTCCTGTTAAAATGCTCTACTTCGAGATGCAGCCTCAACAATTTCCTTCAGATAGAGCCAAGATCACCTACATTATTTCTCTACTCACTGGTTGAGCACTACCCTGGGCCAAAACCATCTGGGAGGCTAACGGCCCACTCACCCGCTCTCTAGATGCTTTCACCAACCCCTTCTGAGAGGTATTCAATCAAACTGCTACTTCTCTATCAGTACATGATCAGCTCTACCACTTACGCCAAAGAAGCTCTACTGTAACAGACTATGCTCTGCAATTTAGAACCTTGACTGCTGCCAGTGGTTGGAATGAGGCCACTTTAATCACTGCTTATCGACAGGGACAAGCTCCAGAATTATGCCTATAAATAGCTATTTATGATGATTCAATGGGCCTAGAGAATACAATTCAGCACTCAATCCAGGTTGCACAACGCCTGCCAACTAACATCCTCCCCCTGTCTCATTGCCAGCTGAACCTCCAGCACCTACCACGGAACCAATACAGCTCGAGTCCTTCCATCTTCCAATAGAGTCGCCTGAGTCGCTTGAATCGCCTGCGTCTTTACTCTGGTGGAGAGGGTCATCTTCCGCCTGCCTGTCCCATATGACCACCTCACTCAGAGGTGAGTGCTATTCATATTCCACCTGAAATAACCAATTTGAACCATACCCCTGTAATGGTATCTACTACCTGTCTACCTGTTTCAGCTATGGCACTCTTTGACACTGGTTCCACGGGAAGCTTCATCTCTAGAGACCTCCTCTTCCAGCTCTAACTCAGGAGGAAGCAATGCCTACAGATCCTAACACTCCACTCAAAGATTTCAATTTTGGTGCTGGAGGGATCTACTGTTGGGGCACCCATGGGCATGGCTACTCCAACATTCCCCAAGGATCTCCTGGATCAATGGAAATATCCTACAATGGGGAGAGGAATGCTTCCAGCACACCTTAAAGAGCAGGTCATATGGTATTTTAAAGTGTCCTAATATTGTGCTGGAGTCCCCTAGAACAGGTTTAAATGCATCTAAGGTCAGAAAACATTGTAATTTTCTCAGAATATACATTTAATATGAGTCATTTGCCAATGATTTCTAAACGGTTCCAAGCAAGTTCGGAGCAAACCCCTCCCTACCATAAGCCTACTCTGCTCTGATTGGTCAGCTGGCCAAGCCTGTTGTGATTGGCACAGAGAGGATTCCTTGAGCAAGTTAGCGAGTGCTACCATTGACAAAGCACCTTTACATAAAACAATAATATAGTGCTCCAATCCGTTCTTATAATAATGACATAAAATACAAAAACACTTACAGTATGCAAGCGAATTGTGCCCACAGCTAAAGTTTAGCTGCTAAACTGTGAACACTTAAAACAATAATGGTGGATACGTTAGCCGAGTGCTAACGTGACTAACTGATAAAGCACACAACAAAAGGTTCGAATTGTATTTCTGTGGTATCCTTGAACACAGCATCTTCTCAACATGATGTAAACACACTAACTAGCGGAAGTGTTTGTGGGCAGGTCAGACTCTGTTCATATTTCGCGGGCAAGCGGGGATTATGCAAATGTGCTACCCAGTGATGTATACCGGTAACAGGCAAAAGATTCAAAAATATGATGACTCGATTAAGAATTGACTCTCTCTTTTGACATATCTTTATTTATCATGCACTTTTTTGATTAACAACATTGCAGATTGTTTTCATTTAAGGATAGCTACGTTATAAACTGCAAAAGAGTTATTTTTCAAAAACCCAAATGACCTGCTCTTTAAAGAAACCAGTACGTGAAAGACCCAGCAAGATTCAGTCATCCGACACACTCGCACTGAATTCCACCAAAATTGAAAGCCTAGACTCCTACATATAGCAAGGGATCCCAGTTAAATAGCAGGCATTTCAGGATGTCTTCAGTAAGCAGCTGGCAACCAAGCTACCACCACATTGGCCATGGGACTGTGGCATTAACCTGATGTCTGGGGTATCACTACCTAAAAGAAAGGTATCCCAGAGCAAAGGGCCATAGGAGGCTCTTTGACAAGAATTTATCAGACCATCTAAATCCCCTACCTTGTCCACGTTTTTCTTTATGGCCAAGAAATACGGAGGCTTGCAGCCCTGCATTTATTATACTGTTCTCAATTTCCTATGTTACATCATCAAGAAGGATGGAATACAAATGGACCAGAGGAAGGTGGAATCCGTTAAGGACTGGCCACAGCCATCCACAGTCCGTGAGTTACAGAGATTCTTTGGTTTCATTGCCAACTTCAGTAAACTCAGTGCCCCATTAACCCCTCTCCTCCGTAGAATGCCCAAGTCTCTGTCCTGAGGTACTGTAGCATTTGCTTAGGATCATTGATGATAGTTTGGGCTTTATGTCTTAAGAGACCCTTTTAGCCTTTTGACATTTGCATATAAATTACAGACATGGCCCCACATTCTACATTTATATGGGTGCTAAATTGCCAATGGTTCCCCCCACTATCAAGGAGATGCTAAACAGATCAACACTCTCGTCTCCCCATCGGACTTCAAACACATTCCAATGTCCTAGGAGACAGTCATCCTCAGTACCTTGCACCAAATGTCTGATGGCCAGTGAACTACCCCCATGCTCACAATACACATAACACAGACACACACACACACACAAAGACATTTTCTTTATTTAGACTATAATTAATCAGTTACAAATGTATCTGGTATATGCATGTGTTGTTTGTATGTTTCCCTATTATATTAGCCTAGTTATCACTTGCTATTTGTATTAGTTAAAGAGCAGGTCATATGGCTTTTTGAAAAATATATATTTTTTGCAGTTTATAACGT